AATACCATAGCCGATCAAATGGTAAGGCTGAGTCCGCAGTGAAGGAGGCGAAGGAAGTGTTTAAAAGAGCCAAGGAGACCCAGCAAGATCCGTACATAATGCTACTAGGTCGAAGGAATACACCATCTACTGATATCGGAGCGAGTCCTGCACAGCGTCTATTCAATCGCCGAACAAGAACGCCAATACCAACCGCTACAACTCTACTGCAGCTCGAGACAGTGCCGTCCGATGTTCTACACGATCAACTACGGAACAGAATGCTAAGGCAAAAACTACCATGATCGCGGATCAAAAAGCCTCTCACCACTAGGTACAGGTGGATAAGTATGAATGCAGCCATTACCGGATCCCGGTGGATGCTGGCGGAAAGGACTGATCGAAGGCCGGAAGGGAGAGAGAAGCTATGAACACAAGGTTGGGGGCAATCTCATTCGATGGAATCGGGTGCAGCTGAGAAGAGTGCGTCAGAAGTGGACATCGCAGAGAGAGGGTCAGCAACAACAACCGGAGGGGAATACTGATACGCAAGCCCGGGACATTAAACGCATACGAAGTGGTAGGCAATAAGGAACATATTGTAACGCTATCCTAAAAAAGGAAAAACTAAGGATGCTGTGCGCGCTGGAAATGCTGGTGTTTGGAACTGCTCTAATGCCGATCGAACGTCACAGGCCAGACCGATAGGGAATGAACGTGTTGCCGGAAGCAGATTGGTCAGCAAACCAGGAATAGTTGGTCCGTGATCACCTCCAGCCTGCAACCATTCACTGCAAGTGCATGTGAGGAATCAGGCGCCACCAGGCGAAGGAGCGCATCCTCGTGCACTCTTGAGCCAAGGCTTCTGGCGTCGGACCGAGAGAAGAAGCGCGCGGGCACAATCGCGCCAATCTACATCCACTAAGAAAGTCAAGGTGATTTTAGACAGCGTGAACATGGTGAGCAAGCATGAACCAATGGAAAAGTAGTCAGAGAAACAATGCAAATAACGGGGACGGGCCATTGAAACGGACTGCTGTAAACAATGTATATACTCTATAAATATTCGGGCGTAATCTTAATAAACGACTTCGTGATCGCGGCCCCGTCTTCTTGCTTCCCAGAGAGCAACACGAAAAAAGTGGTTGATTTGCATTTCACGCGCCATCGCTATTGTCTTGAATCGAATGGAGTCTGTGGAAACGCTTCTACTTACTGTTCTCTGTTCAGTAATCCACTGCTCCATTTTGTCCTCTAACTGTAGCCATCTTCTTTTGTTCCCTCGGAAATTCTCCTTTGTCTGCTTTACTTGGCGCAGGTCATCCTTTTGCTTCTTCCACTTCCGTGCCATTGATTTATTAATTTGGTATCAAGAAAAGTGTTAGGCGTAAGAGAACAAGCTTCTTCTTGATCGTCAGCATGCGACTGCACTAGAGATTGTTTACGTGCTTGACCTCATACTTTGATCAGCTTGTAAGTTATCACGCATTTCTCCGTAAGTGCACTGTGTGAAAAGTCGGTCCTTCAGGGACAAAACGTATATTCTGCAAACAACAGGACCAGGCGAAAACGGAGACAGAGGGCGAGTGAAACATATCGGTATATACAGCTGGTTGGATCCAAAGGTCTTCCGTTCTGCAACAGAACAGCACCTATTCCACTCTGGCTACTATCACACTGTACCTCCAATGGTTGTGCTGGATCGTAATATCCGAGTACTGGCGCATTACTGATAAGGTTCTTAATGGTTTCGAAAGCCAACTCCTGTTCCTTCCCCCAGCTCCAATTTACTCCTATGTGAGTTAACTGCCTAATCGGAGTCATGACATCAGCGAGTCCTGGTAGGAACCGGCTTAAATAGTTCACCAGACCGTTTAGGCGATGGACTGCCTTCACATCGTTAGGGGACGGCACCTCTTGTATCGCCTTAATTTTCCCTGGGTCAACTCTGATTCCGTCGGATGTTAACACATGCCCATGGAAAATTACGTCCTCTTTCCGCAGCTCTGCTTTCTCGCATTTTAGCTTGATGTTCTTTCGCACGCAACGCCTCAGGAACCGGTGTAGCTTAGTGTCATGCTCTTCTTCGGTTGAACCGTAGATCAGAACGTCATCTGCCACACAGGTTACGCCATCTAAATCATCTATTGCTTGCACCAAACGCTTTTGGAAAATTTCGCTAGACACCTTCAGGCCAAACGGTAATCGCAGCCAACGATAACGTCCGAACGGTGTAGCAAATGTGGTGAGGAAACTGGATTCGTCGTCTAGAACAACGTGCCAGAATGCGGAAGGAAGCTCTACTTTCGTGAAAAACTTAGCTTTTGTCAAACGCGGTAAAACATCTTCTAACGTCGGTAGCGCATAATGTTCTCTACGCAGGGCCTCATTCAGTGGCTTCGGGTCTATACATACGCGTAGTTCGCCATTTTTCTTCGTAATGATTGCGACCTGGCTAACCCAGTCTGTTGGCTCATCAACCTTTGCAATCACCCCCTGCATAACCAGCTTGTTTAATTCCGCGGAAAATCGGTCACGTAGCGCAAATGGGACTCTCCTAGCAGGTAACGCAATCGGGCGTGCCAAAGGATCTAACGACAGGTGAGCGGTACCCTCGAATTCCCCTAAACCCGGGCTAAACACCGACGGATACAGGTCACTAACATCGGCTTCACACTGACAAGCGTACACAAAACGATCATGGTTAAAAATGACAAAGCCAAGAGATAAAATCGAATCAATACCGAGAATCGGCGTGAGATCCTCATCCACGATCACGAACTGCAGACGATGCGAAACACCGTCTCTCGAATTGACCACTTCAATTGTCGCTGAGCCCTTTGGCTTGAGTCTGGAACCATTCCACATGCGCAAATAATCTTGATCCGATTGAATTTGCACGCCGCGGCAGTGCTTTCTGGGCAAAATATTGATCGTCGCGCCTGTGTCTAACTGGAATCGCACAGACCGTCCCTCGATCAGAAGACTTGCATAGACACACTTCTGCGACGCTTTCCGAGACACGTTACCAATCGATTGTTCGGTGTCTTCTTTTGATTTGTCTGGAACGAATGCACTGACATCTGCCGACTGACAGCAGCGGGCGAAGTGATTGCGCTTCCCACATTTGACACAAATGCGGCCCCACGCCGGACACTGTTCGCGGTTCCTCGGATGTCGTGTTGCACAGAAGTTGCAGGGCTCCTGTCGCGCGGTCGTGGCCCTCGTAGTTTTGCTCCTGGAAACGGTGCACAACTCTGAATCACCTGTGATGGTCATCTGCTGGAACTGATAGGCAGTGGAGGACTCACTGTTACAGATGTCGATACATTGCTGCAGAGATAGGTTGCGCTTTCGTAATAGTCGCTTCGTCAAACCTTCGTCATTGATCCCAAGAACAATGCGGTCCCGTATGAGACTGCCCGCCATGCATTTACAGAAACTGCAGGATCGGGCCAAAATCTTTAGCTCAGTGACGTACGTGTCAACGGATTCACCTGGCCGCCTGTTCCGCGAAAAGAAGAGGTAGCGTTGAAATGTCTCGTTTGTTTGGCCTTCGCAGTATTCACTGAACTTCTCAAGAACTGTCTCCAGATTGTTGGCATCTTCGCTCTTGTCGTAACACAATGTCTCTAGCACGCGGCGCGTATCATCTCCTGCTGCGTGTCGAAACATGGCCAAGCGAAACGCCATCGGTTGTTTGTCCAGACGCGATAAAGTGCAGAAATCCATCCATTTTCTCTTCCACAAACGCCAGTTGCTTGCCAAACTGCGTTCATCCATGTTCAGCGGGGCAGGCATTTGAATAGCCGGTGCAGCTCCAATCATCGTCTGGGTGGTACTAATGTTCTTCTCCTTCTCTGACACCATGTGAAAAGTCGGTCCTTCAGGGACAAAACGTATATTCTGCAAACAACAGGACCAGGCGAAAACGGAGACAGAGGGCGAGTGAAACATATCGGTATATACAGCTGGTTGGATCCATAATTAACGACCTTTGTTGATGCATGACATTTTTCCTTTGATTCAGTCAAACAAACTCACTCCAATGCGTCCACTGTTGGCCAATCAGCGTGCATGCGCGAAACGTGTGAACGTCCAATCGGTTGCCGCCTTTGCTTGCGGCAGCCTAACGGCTTCCTTGCTGGGCTGGCACCGCACGTTCGTTCGAGTGTATACTCCCATCACACACTGCTACTCGCTCTGTAGTACACGCAGGAAGACGTATGTTCCAGTTGTCTATCCGAAAACTTCGGTTTGAACGATGATGTGAATGAAGCTCACACAGGCGTCGCTGACAGTCTGGATGACCGTCCGTCTTTGGAACACGCATGTGAGCGCAGATCATGTGCTCAAACACTCAGCTGTACCCAGCGAGACACAAGTGCGTGTTCTTGACAGTGTTTGCGCGGTGCATTGTTGGAACACGTGAGGTTGGCGAGTGGAGCAACCATCACATATGGGATATCAGCTTGGGTGATTGAACAGTTGGTTGGTTTATCGTCGCCAAAAAAGCTCGAATCAGTTGGCTCCAGCACAGAGTTCGTGACCTCCAAAACAAGTCTGTCTGGACAACATAGGCAACTGACTCCACGAGGTTCCTGACCAGTGATTATGGTTGGACAATCAAAGTCGTAATAAAACATTTTGACAGATTTTACGGCGCAGTGTGAACATTCAATTGATTCGAGGTAACTAGGCCTCAACACAACCATTCATACATAAAGCGCGTCAGGAATAGAAGGCGCCTTATCGACGTCTTAGCCAATGTAAGGATTTTAAGTGCACCTTATTATCCGAAAAATACGGTACTCGTAGTGTAGGTATACTGCGTTAAAAATGATAGGTCCATTTTAAAAATTTACAAGTACTAAGCCTCTTATTACAATTTTTGATAATCCACCAGACTACCCAACGTGACTTGTAAAGTAGTACTTGCTAACCCGTGTAAAGTCACTGTTAATTGTCGTTAGTGAATGTTGTGCCGCGTGAATCGTACTCAAGACAAAGCACACCCCAAATCAAGGAAAACTGTCTGCATCGAGTTGGCCTCGCTGCGGACCAGTCCAGCTGTTTTGGGCCTCCTGGTTGATGAATGCTTCCATTGTAGTGACCGAAACTGTTTCCGGGTCGTATACATGAAGCAGTGTTTCATCACCCGGCATCACTCTGTGGGAAAAGTTGTGATCATTGTTGACAGTCTCCAGGAAGTCCTGTGCGATCTCCAAACAGTATTGCCTCTGCTTGATAGTTAACAACTTTCCACTTTGCACTTTGGAATCCAGATCATCAGACAAAATGGAATGAACAGATCTAATGCGGATAATCCCCTCTTCTGTAAGTTCACGCTTCATGCTTCGGCGATCCTGTATCATTAAGCTTTTCAATGGGATAACGACAGTCTTATCTTTGATTGTCGAGTTTTTATCAGGTCATGCTCCGCTCTCCGCCAAGGAGTGGCCTTTTGAAACAGTTTTACTACTTTTCTACTCGTGTAGGGTTGATTGCAATGTTACCGAAAGCTACTGGAATGATTCGGATAGTTTCCAATTGGGAACTACCAAGCTTCACACCCAATTTCTTACTGTAACTTGGTTTATTATATCAGTCATTTTTCAAAATAGTAGCCGTACGCCGTGCACCTACAGGTCCTTACTCAACTGCAGTTTACCAATAAATAACTTCTTCTGAAGGGAAGAAAACATACACGCATGCGCATAAGGGTCATCTACTTGCGTAAATCAAAGCTTGTCCTCTGATCTTCAGATTTTCTCTTCGGAGAAAAAAGGTCTGCTACTTTTTGAACAGATCACGTACATGCCAACTTCATATGTATAAGTGATTTTTCTCCAAGCTCATCTCGTTGATACCAGCTAAGAAAACAACTGTGTATCTGTTGATTTGCTCCCATGCGCGACCAGTCACTTGCATCACCGAGAAATAAAAGTTTTGTTTATTTGTTTCACACAACTATCTCTTGGAGACACGCTAAGAATTCCTCAAGTTTTTGCTGACGCTATACAATTATCCGACTCGAAGTAACACTAGATAACCAACGCTTGATGCCATTGACTGCAAGTGGGTATTTTCTGAATCTCACGGTGACGAATCATGAATAATAGAATGCTCTAAGTGACCCAGAAGTTCCCACTTAGGTTTGGAAATATGAAATGACAGGTGACCATTTGTTTATAGTGATTCGTTGTCAGACTACTGCAGTCATATATAGGAGGACGAGATGTGAAAAAATCCGACGAACTCAAATGATATTGATGAAGCGACCGATGCTCTTCTAGGTAACCTGCTGGACCAGAGTTTAATTTAATGTAACTGTCCTCAGCGTTCCGCCTTTCCGTTGGCCAATAAAACTGCAGAGTCTGGCTTGGCTTCTATTAAAACACAACGAGCGTTAAAATAATAAGATGAAAATTGCCTCAGTTGCCGCAAGTCTACGAAGGCGTAGACCTTTCGTATCGGTAAGCGGAGATTTGCTACCTTATTCTACGGGTGCTGTTTAGATTCGCATTATGTCCAGCTGTTGGGGGCGCCAGTAGTACCTCGATGAAAGCACCAAGGGCAGTGCTCACTCGTGTCTTTAACTACGTACTCTACACGTACTCTTTAACTACGTACTCTACGCTACGTACTCTACGTACTCTACTCGACCGAAATAAGTTGCAACGTAAGTCAATCGAACTTATAAATAACCATGGAAACGGTCAGCATCCGCAACGTGCCCTAGTTTCCTGATTTAAGGGGTAATTCCGTTGAAAACGGACACTTTAGTTCAGTTGCTGGTAAGATCAACTTACGTGCTACTAGGTTTATAGTTAAACACCCAGAAGCCGCAGCTGCTTGATATCTAGGCTTATGAATGGCTTTTTCATCACCATTAAGGTGGCGTTGAATTAGTCTTTTAATGTGGATTCCTTGAAGTATCAGTTTTCTCACAGCATAATCGGTATGAACGTCAGCTCCTCATTTAGAAATACCTTGAGCGGTTGCATTGGAACCACCTCCAATACATGTTCTGTTTTGTAGACTGTTCAAAACATTAGCCTTTAACCACTTGAAGCATAATTTTAGTCAACTGGCTCTAAATGTCTGGTCGTAAGCTTCTACTTGCGTCCGCGTGTGCTGTATTGTGTTCACAGATGGAGCAGTAGCTTCAGCATGGTGAATTCATTGAAATGTAAACTACGGTGGGTCAAGATGCAGCTGACCTGTACGAAACTATAGAACAAAGAGTATTGTAGTGGTTTCGCACACCAGTTTAATACTGCAAACTCTGTAACCAAGGAATGAGATTGGTATTGACGTGTGGGCCCTCTGCAATGTTTCAAGCTTCGCATCGGGTGATCGGACAGTGGACACACAAGCTTCACTCGAGCTGGGTCGTTAGATAGAGCAGAAAAGGCGAGTGATGTCTTCCTTAGGTTGCGACCTAAAGTACTAATTTTCCAGCTTCGAATACTATGTAATGGAAGTCAAACGGTGGTTAGTATGTGTCGTGTTCATATACTTTGCTTTGTTTTTTCCCTCGATTCGTTTATTCTAATCGCACTTCTATTTAGCAATCGTTTGCTCATCATGTGATCTTGCATTTGATTGGTTGCAATGCGAACCTCCATCGAGTTAATTGTGGTGCGCGTGTGGGTGGAGAGTTTCCTTCATCCATAAGTTCCGGTGCAGCTCTGGGCTGCTGCTTTTCCGGGATACAACAAATTAGCGTCTCGAGAAGGGTGCTTTAACCAACTTGCAGATACCCTGTCGAGACTCCCACTGTCCAACAAAGGGGAAATCGAGGACTTAGGGGAGGTACAAATGTTATCGCAGCTTTCAGACGGAACAGCTGCAATAAACTTTGCCATGATACGAGATCACACTGACAAAGGTCCTGTCCTAGCGAAGCTTCGGGAGTACATATTCACTTCATGGCCCAGTCGCACCAATATCCAACCTGAGTTACTTCAATACTATACCCTACGGAACGAGCTTTGTACTGTGAGCAACTGCATTATTAGAGGCGAGCAGTTTGTGGTCCTTACAGCCATTATTCCTATGGTGGTTACATGGTCTCGTGAAGGTCATCCAGCGATTATGCGAACAAAAGCTCGGATACGACAATACTATTGGTGGCCGAAGTTGAATTTCATCCTCTAGGCGGTTATTCGGGAATGTAAGGCCTGCCAACAATCAGATAAGAGTGCGGGGCCCCTGAATACTCCAGTCCAAAATATCGTGTACCCAATGAAGCCAAGGGCCAAAATTGAGATCGATATTATGGGCCCGTTTGCCATTGCACTTTTGCAGAAGCGAAATGTGCTAGTGGCTACATATTTCCATCGCAAACGGCCAGAGGCTATTCTATATGGGGACGTAACTACAGCCGTCATCGTGAAGTGACTCTGTCTTTTGTTTGCAAGGTACGGTTTGCCAGAAGAAATAGTCACTGATAACGGCCCACAGTTTCGAAGTAACGAGTATGCTGAATTCCTAAAGCGCAATGGTACCAGACACACAAAGACTGTACCTTATAATCCTGCAGCGAATCGACTCGAAGAACGACTTAATCGTACTTTGAAAGAATCTCTACACGTCCTTCGGCTTTCGGGAGAATCCTGGGATTTGCGTTGGTATCTGCATTGGAGGTATACAGAAACACTCCACATACTGCAACGACAAGGACCCCTCGGACCTACTGCTGAGGTGAACAATTCCAACAAGATTAAATTCAGCCTTTCCAAGCGAAGAAACCGCCGATCACAGCGAATACGAAAGACGCGCTGTTTACCAGGCTAAATATAGGGGCGTTTGGAAAACGTATCCTCCAGAGACATTTGTCCGTGTGGGGTTAGCCAAATCCCGGAAAGGAGATAATTTATTTGGACCGCCGACCAGTGTGGAATCTGTGTGCACATGGGGAACCTACAACTTGGCTGATGGGATAAAGGTGAATGCAAGGCTGCTCCATACAGCCCTTTCCCATCCTGAGATTGAATAGACGAATACACTTACATCACAGCGCTGGGTACAAACTAACACAAACTTACGACGTTCCGGTCGGATACGTCGTCCTGTCTACCGAAATGCTTTAACGGAAAACTCTACATGATAATTCTTCGGGGTGCTGTCATTAAATTAGTTCGTTCAAGAACATGTAGTGTTTATACTTACAAACACAAGTGGGGGCAATGTTGTGTTCAAATAATTTGCTTTGTTTTTCCCTTGATTCGCTGATTCTACTCACACTTCTATTTAGCACTCGTTGACCTATCATGTTTTCTTGTGTTTCATTGGTTGCAATGCGAGACTTCATCGATTTAATTGTCCCGCGCGTGTGTACGGACAATGTTCTCTATACATACATTTCGGTACTGCTCTGGTCTGCTGCTATTTCCGGATACAACAGTACGAAACATTTTACAAGAGGCACGAATATATAATAATTTGCGGACCCATACGCAAAACCCACCGACTTCGTTATTTTGACCAAGGACCGGCTTGTATCAGACACCAGGAAAGGCTATTAAGGCTTTTCGCGAACCGCGTCAGAGCCGTCAGTTCATCTGAGTAAATTGCGATTTGAACGGTAATTTAAGGTTGCAAGGCATGACTGTTGAAATAACCACACCGACAAAAAGCAGGCCACAGTCTGACTTAAACTATTCACACACGTATGTTGCTGTACGCAAGTCTCGGTAAAGTTCATATATCAGGAACTGGGAGTACGAAATGTGTACTTTTGAAACATGAAACAGACTTTTACCAGTGTCAAAAAAGACGGGGTTTTACAGTCTAGTTTAGCAGCTGTCTCAAGTTAGGCACATGCGCCGAACTGCTCCACTAACCAATTATGCTGGGGTACAGGATTGAGAGCAGACAACATAGAGATTGTCCACGCTTCATCCGCAATCTTGATGATTACAATATCCGATATTTAGTCCAGAGCGAATGAATATCCAAAGAGGGATTTCCTGTCACAATCAGTATACACTCAGGTACGGCAACTGCAAGATTCCTCAACATCTCGCCTACTTCGAACGACCTTGAAGGAACGTGCGTTCCAATCGCTCACTTGTGAACATGTTGTTTTGCCGCCGTTCGCTGTTGCATTTTGTCACACAAACGTGTGTTCACACTCATTCGGCCCAGATTCACCTGCACTATCTAGTACACTCCATCTTTCGGATCTAGTTTATGTGGATCGTCTTTTATCTCCACATTGCGGTTTTTGCGCCATTCTTGCAAAAACACAATCGAGGAATTTTCCGAAGCACGAACCACACAGAAATATTTGTGGTCTCAAACGAAAGCCAACTACACATTTCATCTGAGGAATCAGCAACCACAGCTGTGGACCGATCATCAAAGT